CCTGGGACACCCCGAGGTAGAACTTCTTCAGGAAGGACGCCGCGAGGGTCTGGCGGTACGCCGCCATGCCCCCGGGCACCCCCTCCGGCAACGGCAGGTCCTCGGCCAGTGCCGCGCACGCTCGCTCGATGGCGGCCTCGCCCCACGCGGCCCCCACCAGGGCCTCCTCCGTCCGGCGCGCGCGCTTCGTCGTCGGGGCCATGCCCCCGAAGCCAGTGTCCACCGAGCGGATGGCTCGGAGCAGGCCCCGCCGAGACGGCCGCGGCCCTCCCTCGCGCGCTGCGCCCTCCGCGGGCCTCCCGGAGGCCTCTCGTCGCCACGGCGGGAACGCCGCGCCGAGGAGCGAAGAGCGCGAGAGCTCCGCCGCTGCCTCCACGGGCCCTCCTCCGACTGGTCCAGCCCCCCTCCCCGGGCGAGAGCTCCACCCGAATGCAGGCGTTCACGATGGAGATGTCGTCGTCGCGCCGCCGGGCCTGCTTGAAGCTGCGGGCGAACTCGAACTCGCCCGTCGGGGGCGGCACCCGCACGCGGCAGATCACCTCTGATGAGCGTGTTTTCCACCACCACCACCATAAGTTGGAGGGGGGGGTCCTCCTCCTCCTCCTCCTCCTCCTCCTCCTCCTCCTCCTCCTCCTCCTCCTCCTTCTCCTCCTCCTCCTCCCCCTTCGCACCATCCAACTCATGGTGGTGGTGGTGGAAAACGCGCTCATCAACCTCGGAGGGCGACATGTCCACGGTGCGGTATCGCTTGAAGAACTCCCGGACCAGCACCTCGCGCGGCGGGCAGCCGCACCCGGCCACGGTGACCGTCGCGCCCAGCGCCATCAGCACCGGGTTCATGTCGGAGATGGGGCTCGCGGTGGCGAGGTTCCCGGCGAGGGCGGCCACGTTGCGTATCTGCCCGCTCGCGAACCAGCGGAGCATGTCCAGCATGGCCTTGAGCCACGAGAATGCGGCAAGGGGCCGATCCTTCAGGGCATCCTCGATGAAGTGTTCCACCGAGGACAGCGTTACGGCTCCGCCAATCACCAGCGCGCCTTCGGCATCGAAGCAGAGCTCGTGCAGCTCCCTGACGGCAGCAGTGGATATCTGCACCGGGTACTCCAGCTTCTTGAACTTCGTCTCTATGCCGATTTCGGTGTTACCCGACACCAGCTTGGCCGTGGGGTCTTGTTTCTTCAGGGCCAACAAAGTCGGCAGGCTGCTCGGCCTGTACCACGTCACCTTATGGGGGCTGTCTCTCTAGACTCGTCCGCCCCAGAAAACATGGCATCTGTGCTCCCACTTCAGACAAATCACGAACCGTCTACGATTCACATCAGCATGTTTGCGAACAGATCTTGATATGTTGCCTTCAACGAAAGCCGTATACAATTCTGCTGACGGCAAACAAGCGAATCAAACATGATGACTACAAAAAAAGTCAAGCATCTCTGCGAGCAAACGGAAACAGAGCATGTCCCTGGGATGTGTCCCTGTGATCCGGGGAGGCGTGTGCAGGTTCCCCTGCCTCCAATGAGGCGATGGCTCTGTCTGAGAGAGACTCTAAAACATGCCTTCAGTGCCATGTGCCCTATGCCCTGTGGCTGACGGCCCAAGGCAAGGGACGCGTCCCAGGGTTCCGACTCCACTGTTCCATTCCACAACGTCTCATCCTCCTCGGTCCGTGCGACAGACAGGAGGACGCCCGCTGCCCACCTGCACAGGTCAGGGCTCGACTACAGCAGTGATTCGCACGAAGAGCTGTTCCTGCGCACACAAACCTACGAACAATGACTCGAACTCTCGCACACGATACGTATGTTCCGTAGCTCGACAACTCCGTAGACAACTCCGTAGGAGGAGGAGGAGGAGGAGGAGGAGGAGGAGGAGGAGGAGGAGGAGGAGGAGGGGGAGGAGGAGGGGGAGGCGACGACGACGACGACGACACGACACGGCGGCGCCGACAGCGAAGACAGCAACGACCACGACGACGCCGACGCCGACGCCGACGCCGACGCCGACGACGACGACGACAGCGACGACGACGATGACGATGACGATGCCGACGCCGACGCCCATGCCGACGCCGACGCCGACGCCGGCGCCAAAAACGACGCCGACGCCGACGCCGAGCACGATGCCGCCGACGCCGACGCCGACGGCGACATCAACGACGACGATGACGACGACAGCGACGACGACGACAACGCCGAGCACAACGCCGAGCACGACGCCGAGCACGACGCCGACAACGACGATGACGACGACCACCACCACGCCGAGCACGACGCCCAGCACGACGACGACGACGACGACGACGACTGCGAAGACGCCGATAACGACGCCGACGCTGGCGACGACGACGCCGACGACGCCGATGCCGACGACGACGACGCTGGCGCCGACGCCGACGCCGATGCCGACGACGACGATGATGCCGACGCCGGCGACGGCGACGCCGACGCAGACAACGACACCGAGCACGACGCCGACGCCGACGCCGACGCCAGCAATGACGACGACGAAGACGACGACGACGACGACGCCGACGACGACGACGACGACGACGACGACGACGACGGCGACGACGACGACGACGACAACGATAACAACGACGCCGACGCCGACGCAGGCGCCGAAGCCGACGAAGAGCACGATGCCGAGCACGACACCGAGCACGACGCCGACGCCGACGTCGACGACGACGACGACGACGATTCCGACGCCGCCGCCACCGCCGTTGACGACGACGCCGACGCCGACGCCGAGCATGACGCCGCCGCCGACGACGACGACGACGACGAGCACGACGAGCACGACGCCGAGCACGACGCCGAGCACGGCGCCGTCGACGCCGAGGCCAAGAACGACGCCGACGCCGACGCCGACGCCGACGACGCCGACGCCGACGACAACGACGACGACGACGCCGACGACGACGACGACGACGATGACGCCGACGCCGACAACGACGCCAACTCCACGCGGACGCCGACAACGCCGAGCACGACGCCGAGCACGACGCCGAGCACGGCGCCGAGCACGACGCCGAGCACGACGCCGAGCACGACGCCGAGCACGAAGCCGACAACGACGCCAACGCCGATGACGACGACGACGACGACGACGACGACGACGACGACGACGACGACGACGACGGCAACACCGACTCCGGGCACGACTTCGACGCTGACGCCGTCGACGACGACGACGACGACGCTGAACTCGACGCCGTCGTCGTCGCTCCCCCCCCTTTCCCCCCCCGCGCGGGTTCCGAACCCGGGGGGTACCCTACAATCGACCACAGAAATCGCTTTTTCATATCTATGCGTTCCCGTCTGACCGTTACCACATCGCACACCAACACGTGGAATTAAATCAAAGGCCAGACACACACACGCACACCAGACTCGGAAAGCACTGTCACTAAGTTTGCTACACATCAAAAGCGCTTACAAGAATGTGCGCGTGTATAGACAGTCGGCTACAACATGCCGCTAGGAAATGTCACTGCACCTGAGCAGCGTATCCAATTGCACTCGGATTGATGTGCACGTCGCCAGCCTGATAAACCAAGACTGTCGACGGACGCAGTGCCTGAATTGAATGTAGAAGCAAATGCTTTCTAGCCGTTCTCCTTCCGATATGCTCGGATTGATGCATCGTCTGCAGACCCACGCAAACCATACAGAAAGGCCACCACCATCCGATCCGAAACCTGTCTGGCAACCTGCCCCCTTGCAAGCTGGGGTGCAAAAGCCCCGTGGGCTCTCGGGCAGGTTCCTGGAGCGTCCCTGGGTCGCACTACTTTGGGGCAGCGCGTCGTCAAAGCTCACACATCTACATCTTACTCCCGGTCGCTCCGTCGAGCCTCGAGGGCGGCCCAGGCGCCCACACGACTCGACGAGGCCCCGAGACAGCGCCGAGAGCCTTCCAGGCGGCCCGAAGACTGTGGCCCCCAAAAAAAGCCTCGGACGCCTCCTGCCGGAGAGGCCCACGGCTCCGACAGCGGCTCCCTCCGCGCTCCCCCAGGACGCGCCCCGAGCGGTCCCGCAGGCGGGCCCCGGACCACCCTGGGCCCACCCAGGACCCCCGCGGGGGCGCTACCAAATACGGTCAAGCTGCTACCACAAGGAACGCCAGATACAAGGAGCGAAGCTCATTTTTGGCACCAAAGGCGCCTGGGTGCACGAGTAGGGCTAGAGGAACAAGCACGGAAGAACCCGAGGAACCCCGAGCCTTTTCCGAACCCACAGCGTGCTGTATTTCAGCATCTTAGCTATAATTCAAGACGGGGCCAAGACTGTCCATACACCCCTACAGACGGCCCCCAAGACAGTGCTGCACCTTCCCCTCTGGAGAATTCCTTCCACTCATCGCACCAACGATGGCCACAGGGCGTCCTGGTGCTCTGCGGAGACTCCCGAGAACCACTATCACTTCGCGATAGGTTGGACCATTGCGGAACCATGTTAAAACCATCCAGGAACTGTCTCGATGATGCGCTGTCACGATGGCAACAGATGCCCAGGGCAACCCTTCTCGTTCACATTTGACACCAGGCCCCTGAAGGGTAAACCCGTCAAGTGCAAACTCTCTCGAATAACATGAAAACGAAGAGATGCATACACACATACCCTTTAGATGTAATGTCTATCAAACAATTTGCACGTGGCCGAGAAGCAACCCTCCTGCATCGAAACATGACCTGATAGTGCCGACCCAACATCGCAAAAGGAAATCCACGGATGGCCTGCTTGCCAATGACTTTCAAGTCTGCTGTCGGGCTGGCACGCAAGGCGTCTGGGAAGGGTACCGCCAAGGACTCCTTGCAGGACGCGAGGCTCGACACTGTCGCGCTCGAGGAGGAGCACACCTGGAGAGAAGGAGACGGTGTGTGTTTCATGAAGCGAAAATCCAGACCGACACGAGCCGACGCGAAATCGTAGAAACTGCGCAGGACAGACGACCGAACCGGTGGAAAGCTGGTCCCCGAAGAATGCAACTTGCAAAACGTCAAGTCATTGAACACTGGAGACATGTTTGCAGGTGGCTCGTGCTCTCCATGTCCGGAAGACGGGCCCAAGCCAGCTGACCCGAGGAGGCCGCCCGATTCGATTTGGTCGGGCTTGGTAAAGCTGGCGTGGCAACGAGCCAAACACGTTCCCAGGGACGCACCCGACATGTCTAGCTAAAACGATCAGCCAGGCCCATGGGATGCGAGGCCTGGTGTGTGCGCCCGTAGCGCGCAGCGACGCCCGTCTCCGCCGAGCTCAAGCTTGCAACACCCAGCGACGCAGGACTCCCCACGGGGCTCAAGAAGTGCCGGCTGTTCAACGTAGGGTTGGCGTCGCAAAGATAGCGTGCAGCACCGATCGCCGAGAAGCACGCTAGCCCAAAAAATAGAGCTTCCCCAGTACATGTCACCATGCCAAGCGATTCCCCCTCGAGGGATCCTTCTGTGCACGATATCCCCCTGCCAACCGTGAGGCGATAACCATGGACTCAAAGTCTCATTTGTATGTGTCCCCGGGCCCAGAAGAAGATGGAGGCAACCCCCTACGTTGGGCGACACTGGTGCGGGGGAGGTCTCACTTGAACCCGCGTCGGGTGACGCCCCGCGGAACTACCCAATGCCCAGGAAAGTTGCAGGCTCTTCTGCGGCTGGCAGCGCTCACTCGGGTCCACGAAAGAAGGCTACACTCTGGACCTCTCCTGGGCTCAGGGCCCAGCAACATTCTGCCTTGGCATCACCCAGGGATCGCGTTTGATCGGAGTCCAAAGGCAAGCCCTGGAGAGGACAGCACCGCTTGACGGAGACAGCTGCTGGCGACAGGCCTGCACGACCCGAGGAGGCGAGTTCACGGCTGGGTCTGCGGATGGGGTGCTTCGATGAAATCTGAAGGGATTCGGGAAACGAGAGGCTGCTGTAAGTTTCGGCAACGTCCATAGCGGCCAGATCTCATTTGGGTCTTGTTTGAGGGGGCTCGTTCTGATGTACGGGGGCGGCGATCGACTGGACCCCCCCTGGGATAGGAGAACCGCAGCAGCATCCGAGTTTGGCAGCACGAGACGGGGCGAGATTTCGTTTGGATCCGCGTCGGGAGGCACCCCGCAGTGCTCTCCAGTGACAGTCAGCAGGTGGCGACAATTCTACCTTGGGGACCATATGGGACCACTCATGGAAGGGAGGTCTCACTTGGGTCCGCACGAAGGGGAACCCCACTACACCTCCAGGGCCGTCAGAACTGGCAAAGAGTTCGCACTTGCCTGCACCCAAGGGGGGCGAATCCTCGCGCGGACCCGCGAAATTCTATACCAAACAGCACCCACAGAACTGGGGCCAAACTGGATTCACGCCGGGTGGGGGTGGGGCTGGGTGCCCTGCTGACCCCCACCCCCCGAGCGCGGGACAGCTATCAGCGTTGTACGGTGGGACCTAGGACAGAAGAGCATCCTTCAAGAACATGAGAACCCTCCGCTGGCAAAATACCCAAAACCATAAGATCACTCGAGAATACCTACCCCCAGGATGCACAATGACATCCAACAAGCACGAAGAACACCAGGGTACCCTCCCCGAGCCGACCTCGATCTTATACCTCGGTTGTACCACATGCTTGGTAGCATTCAGAGAAGCGAGGTATCACCCAAGTCCGTGCATAGGGGCTTCCCAGATGGGATCCGAGTAAACGGGGCCGGAGGCTCGCATCGCATCGGCGATGCAGCGGCGACGCCGACGTGGACAAACTCGGGCCCCACATCGAGCCGGATCGCCCGTGGATCGGCGATGCGGCGTGATCCTCCGACAACATCTGGGAGGCCTAGAATGCAAGACGGCGCCCCGCTGGGATTCCGGGGGGCGCAGGACAGTGGCGGCAAAGCCTGCGCTGGGCAGCGCCCAGGGAACCGGCGTCCCACGTGGATCCTTCCACACGCACACACACACACACAGATCTGCAACGGAGCGAGACTTGGGGAAGGGGGAGGACAGAGATAGCTGCTGTCTTTTGAGAGCGCGTTTCTTTTTTTTCGGCGATGACGAGCGTCATGGGGGGGGGCGGGGGGGGCTATGACACAACGCCCCCCCCGCCGTGTGGCCCAGGCACCACAACGGCGCCCGCGGGCACGACGACGATGAGCGACGAATGACGAGCGACGAGCGACGAGCGACGAGCGACGAGCGACGATGACGACGACGACGACGACGACGACGACGACGACGACGACGACGACGGGAGCATCATGTAGGCAGCGATCTGCCCCGCAACGCCTGTGTACACCACAATGCTCGCGCGCACTGCACCACAGCGCCTGCGTACACCACACCGCCCGCGTACACCGCAACAACCGTGTGAAACGCAACGCCTGTGTACACCACAGTGCTTGTGTGCACTGCAGCGCCGGTGTACACCACAGCGGATGTGTACACCGCAGCAACCATGTGCAACACAGCGCCTGTGTACACCACAATGTTTGCGTGCACCGCAGCGCCTGTGCAGACCACACGGCCTGTCTACACCACAGCATCCGCGTGCAACGCAGCGCTGGTGTACACCACAGCGCCTGAGTGCACAGGAGAGGTAGAAGGAGCATGTAAGCGAGGATCTGCTGCGAACAGCTGAGCGCCACGCCAGGGATGTGCTGATAATAGAATACGAAGTTACTCCCTCTTTCCTCCTTCTCCACCTCCACCTCCACCCCCACCTCCTCCTCCTCCTCCTCCTCCTCCTCCACTTCCTCCTCCTCCTCCTCCTCCTCCTCGTCCTCCTCCTCCTCCTCCTCGTCCTCCTCCTCATCTTCCATTCTTTGTCTGTATAGATAACATATCCTTGTCGCACCCCGATGGCGGGCCAGGCGTTTGGAATGAGACTTCCTCACCACAACGGCTTCACAGATGGAGGGCGGGTGGCTTTCAAAATGAGGTTCTCGCCCTAGCGCCGCGCACATTCGTTTGAACAGTTTGCAAGAGCTTCACGGATTGAGGGCGGGTGGTTTTCAAAATGTAGCTTTCGCCTTAGCGCCGCGCACATTCGTTTTACAAATTTGAAAAGAGCTTCACGGATTGAGGGCGGGTGGTTTTCAAAATGAGGCTCTCACATTAGCGCCGCGCACATTCGTTTTACAAAATTGAAAAGTGCTTCACGGATTGAGGGCGGTTCTTTTTTCAGAATGTGGTTCTCGCCTTTGCGCCGCGCACATTCGTTTTACACATTTGAAAGGGTTTCACGTATCGAAGGCGGTTCCTTTTCAACATTTGGTTTTCGCCTTAGCGCCGCGCACATTCGTTTTACAAATTTGCAAACGTTTCACGTGTTGGGGCAGGTGGTTTTCAGAATGTGGTTTTCAGCTCAATTGATTCCCATGATCCACGTACCAGAACTGTCGTTTTGGAAAGATTCATGATTATGCGGGCGCAACAGCTATACTCGCGATGTCGAAATCCCGAAAATGGCTCTCTGGCACGATTCCAGATCGTCAATACGCAGCAACCAGGTTGATCCGTGGAACTGTAATTCCGAGAACCATGTGTTGGCATGGTTCAGGATCTTCAAACGGTTGTCTTCCAACGAGGCAGTTCCGTCAATAGGGGCTTATGAAGAGGGGATTGGAAGGAGGGTTAATTCCAACATCGTTGATGGCCCTTGGGTTTACACTGGTCCTCCTTCTTCTCTTCCCCGTCCTCCTCCTACTCCTCCTCCCTCACCCTTCCCCCCTTGTCGTGCCGGTCGGCGCTACAAAGCACGTGCGCATCTCAGCATGCACCGCAAAATTGTCGGTTGAATCAGTCCACTTGGTTCTCGGACGCCAAATTTTGTCGGAGCCTCCTGGACGCACATGGACGGACTTAGGATGATGCGGGCGGACTCGGGAGGACTCGTAGATTCCAGCGGCGTTCCCTTTTCCATAAGCATCCTTTCCACATCCTATCTAAAACAATTGTTGTCTGAGGAAGTCTCAGGCGTTCAATTTTGTCATGAGGATTCCTTCGGACATGCTATAATCAACAATGGTGTTCTGTTGCACACGGTTGCTGTGGTGCACACAGGCGCCGTGGTGCACACAGGCGCTGTAGTGCACGCAGCCATTGTGATGTACACTGGTGTTGTGTTGCACACGGCTGATGTGGTGCACTCCAACCTGCCCTTGGATCCCCCGCATCCGCTCAAGCCCGGAACTCGCCCAGTGGAAGGCGCGCGCCAGAGAGGTGGGCCCAGCGCCGATCCCAGAGATGCGCGCTGAGCTCCGCAGATCTGTCTCCCCCAAAGGTCCGCGGAAGCAGAGCGAGGCCCGACGCCTGGGGCGGACTGCACCTCAGAGCCCCCCACCGCGCCTGCTGGGGCAGTCTCCGCGCCGCCCCCGGCCGAGGGCTGAGGTTTCTGGTGCGCCCCGCGCCTGGACGCCGCCCTCGCCCTCGGGGCCCGCGGCGGCCCCGCCCCCGCACTTGCCGTGCGACGGCACGGCGTGCTTGTCGCACGCGAACGTCTTGCCGGCGTCCAGGATGGGGCGGTAGCCGGTGCAGCGGCAGAGGTTGCCGTCGAAGGCCGACTCGATGTCTGCCACGGTGGGCTCCGGCTTGTTGGCGAGCATGCTGTACAGGGACATCACGATGCCCGGGGTGCAGAACCTGGCCGGAGAGGGGCGGGCCGGGACGCGGGGAGCCCGCGGCATGCCGAGCGGGGAGGCCGGGTCCGGCCGTGCTAGCGGGGGGCAGGTCTGGCCGTGTCACTGGAGCACGTGGCACTGACAGGAAGGGGGGCCTCACGCAGGAAGTGCGATCCTGAAGGTTCCTTCGTAGAGGAAACCAAGACCCCAAATACTCCAAACGTCTTCTTCGGTTTGCGCGTGGCCCCTAGGCTCACCCGCATGGCGTCGCATGATGTCGCATGACTTGTTGAGGCCCTGGACGGCCCCAAGACGGGCCAAGAGGGTCCCAAAATGCCCCCAAGATGATCCAAGAGGGCCCCGAATCGCCGGAAATAGGTCCAAAACGCATGGCCTCCAATCGACCAAGAGGCCTCCGAGAGCCGTCCCAAGAGGGCCCCGAGAGGCCAACATCATTTATATTGTTCCTCTGGTGTTTCAATGATGTGTAGCTTCTCCGTTTTTAGAGAACTTCCGGCGCTCCAAGACGTCCCAAGAGGCCCCCAAAACCATTCCAAGACGGCCCCAGAGGCCCCCAAGAGGGCCACACGAAGGCAAGAGAGCCCATAGATGGCCCAAGAGGCACCCAAGACGGCACCAAGACGGCCCCAAGAGGGTGCCAAGAGGGGGAACACGACCCAAAAATCCCAGCCTTCCGCCCCGAGAGGCACCCAGGAGACCCCGAGAGGCCCCAGGAGGCCCCCAAGAGGTCCCCACGAGGCCCCTGCGAGGCCCCCAAGAGGCCCAAAAATGGCCCCAGGAGGCTCACGAGCAACCCCCCGGAGGCTTCCAAATTGCACCCAGGAGGCCCCGGAACGGCCGCGACGAGATCCCGACGAACATCCGAGAGGCCTCCAGACCCACCACCCGGGCACGGTGGCGGGACGGGCCGAAGGCCGCTAGATCCGCCGCCCCCTGCTTGCAGGGGTGCACGGCGTGCTGGACGAGCTGTTAGGTTTTGGTTTTGCTTCTTTTTCCAAAAGAACTCCCCAGTGGGCTCCGGCAGAACCCGCCAGTGCGCAAAAACGGCCGTTTCGCTCGGGACATCCTCAAAAAATCGCGAAGATGGCCCAAGATGGCCTCCAAGTCCGCCCGAGATGGTCCAAGACGGCCTCCAAAACGGCCCAAGAGAGTCCAAGACGGCCCAAGACGGCCCAAGAGGCCCCCCAGAGGCCTCCCAGACGGCCCAAGAGGCCTCCAAGAGGTCCTCCAGGAGAGTCCGAAGAGGGCAAAATCATTGATTTTCCCTTGGTTTTTGAAGGATTTTGGCATTTGCGCCTTTTCGGCTCTCCGACGGCTCAAGACGGCCCAAGAAGCCCCCAAGATCGCCCAAGAGGCCCCCAAGAGAGCCCCCTGATGGCCCAAGTGGCCTCCAAGATGGCCCCTAGAGGGCCCCAAGACGGCCCAAGAGGCCTCCAACACGCCCAAGATGGCCTCCAAGACGCCCAAGATGGCCTCCAAGACGGCCCTGGAGCGCCCCAAGAGGGTCCCCCGTTGGCCCAGAAAGGCCCCCAAAACGGCTCCCGACGGCGTCAGACGTGCCAGGAACCCACCAAGATGGCCGAAGTTGGCTCGAAGCTGGCCCAAAAGGGCCCAAGAGGCCCCCAAGAGGGCCTCCAGGAAGGCCAAAAGATGCCAAAATCACTGATTTTCCCAAGGTTTTTGATGGATTTGGGCATTTCCCTTCTTTCGGCCTTCCGACGGCCCGAGACGGCCCAAGAGCCCCCAAAGATCGCCGAAAGATCGCCCAAGAGGCCTCCAAGACGACGACGATGACCATCAAGACGCCCACGTGTTCCCCGAAGGCTTTCCAAACCGATTCGGGGAACACATGGTCCGATGGCTTGGCAGGTCTGGCCTCAACGTTCGGCCACATAGGCGCTTCCACAAAGGCAGGGGGCGGCGGTGATTCGCCGTAGGCGTCTTCGATCCGCCGCCCCCTGCTTGCAGGGGTGCACGGCGTGCTGGATGTTTCAGGTTTTGGTTTTGGTTCTTTTTCCAAAAGAACTCCCCAGTGGGCTCCGGCCCGTCCCGCCACCGTGCCCAAAAACGGCCGTTTCGCTCGGGACATCCTCAAAAAATCGCGAAGATGGCCCAAGATGGCCTCCAAGTCGCCCGAGATGGTCCAAGACGGCCTCCAAGACGGCCCAAGAGAGTCCAAGACGGCCCAAGAGAGCCCCCCAGAGGCCTCCCAGACGGCCCAAGAGGCCTCCAAGAGGTCCTCCAGGAGAGTCCGAAGAGGCCAAAATCATTGATTTTCCCTTGGTTTTTGAAGGATTTTGGCATTTGCGCCTTTTCGGCTCTCCGACGGCTCAAGACGGCCCAAGAAGCCCCCAAGATCGCCCAAGAGGCCCCCAAGAGAGCCCCCTGATGGCCCAAGTGGCCTCCAAGATGGCCCCTAGAGGGCCCCAAGACGGCCCAAGAGGCCTCCAACACGCCCAAGATGGCCTCCAAGACGCCCAAGATGGCCTCCAAGACGGCCCTGGAAGAGGGCCCATCCCGACGGCGTCAGACGTGCCAGGAACCCACCAAGATGGCCGAAGTTGGCTCGAAGCTGGCCCAAAAGGGCCCAAGAGGCCCCCAAGAGGGCCTCCAGGAAGGCCAAAAGATGCCAAAATCACTGATTTTCCCAAGGTTTTTGATGGATTTGGGCAGTTCCCTTCTTTCGGCCTTCCGACGGCCCGAGACGGCCCAAGAGCCCCCAAAGATCGCCGAAAGATCGCCCAAGAGGCCTCCAAGACGGCGACGATGACCATCAAGACGCCCACGTGTTCCCCGAAGGCTTTCCAAACCGATTCGGGGAACACATGGTCCGATGGCTTGGCAGGTCTGGCCTCAACGTTCGGCCACATAGGTGCTTCCACAAAGGCAGG